TATTAAGGCCCCTACATTAGGAGGCTCTTTCCCACAGCCGAAGAAAGAGAGGACCTGAAGCCCTGCATTCCGAAAGCCAGTGCCTTCCGAAGCCTTAAACAACTCCGTATACTTCTCAGTAGTGGGGTTTAGGGCTTAGGGTTCCGAAGCCTTGAACAACTCCTTACTTCTTAGTAGGTTTAGGGTTTAGGGTTTAGGGTGTAGGGACTACCATACTAATAAAGGACCTTAAGGACTTCCAGGGCTATTTCTGAGGGACTTTCAGGGGGATATCAGAGGCATCCATACCCAGTTTAGGGTTTAGGGTTTAGGGGCATCCAGTCCCCCATTTTCCACTAAGAACCAGGGACTTGGAGCCGGGAAATACACGACTCTGAACCCCAAAGCCGAGCGTGCAGACGCTTGTCTACCCAGACAAACTTGCAATACCCCTTAAATAAGGAACACAGCTTAAAAGCAAAATACGAAGGTCCCTATATGTGTAAGGTCTATTCCGTATTTAAGTGGTTTTGGGTTCTCTGGGTATAGAAGCTGGGATAATTAGAAAAAAGGCAAGGCCTATTCTCAAATAATGAGACCCAGAGAACACATGCATGTCATGAATGTGGCCAGACGAGAATGCTGTGGACCGGCTTTGCTCCGAGTTCGGGGAGCGCAACAAGAAGTTCGACGACGAACTCTACGACACACATCGAACCGTCCGGAGATCGGGATGGAAATCCGATGCGGGGGTTGACCAAGATGCAGCCGGCCAAGGCAGAACGCCAAGCAACAGATCAAGTCGGGGACCTTCTCAAGTTCTTGCGAACGAAGAAGTCCAAATTCTTTGGCACAGAGTGCTTGGATCGTGGCTTCGCCGCGGCGCAATCCAGAAGGAACCAGTATATCTGCTGGTGGAAAAGAGTCCAGACACGTTCTGTTACGAAGAGCGAACTCTTATAGACTTCGAAGGAATGAAATGAACTGTCCGAGGTGCTTGGTTGTGAGTGATGACGGTGACGATGCCATTGGTGGTGATGATGGCCAGGATGATGGTGATGCTGACGGTGCTGGTCTGTGGAGTGGCAGCTAAGCCCAGAACCGGAGGACGCTTGCAGACTGCTCAAACACGCCTGCGGTTACAAGCGGTTTTTGTTCTGACTTGGGTCTTTGCCTGTAGTATTGCTATTTATCAGGGCTCCTTAACATGCTACAGTATAGTATAATGCACGTTGTACCCAAACCCTATCAAAGTATTAAGGTCGCTGAGCCCCTGAAGTCCCTATTCAACCTCAGTGAACCTTATTCCAATGGGTGGCTGTCAAAATTGGGGTGCCTTTTTGGGTCCTCAACATAATACGGCACCTAATATTTAGGGTACCCATAAAGGGACCATAATTTTGACAACCACCCCAATCAGTCAGGCATTCATGCCAACCCCTACGCCCCCAACCTTGACACCTATAAACCGAAAACTTAGAACAAAAGAAGAGACTGCCAAGGCCTAAAACGGAATCCATAGACATGTTGTGAGCAACCCGTAAAGCCTTAAACGCCTAGAAAACCTGAAACAGCCGTGTAAAGATCTTATGAAGATACCTTGTAAACCTATCAAACTTTAGGACAGCCCACGAAGCCCCAGCCGCAGGCGAAGCGCTTCGGAAATCTGGCCTTGGCCGAGGAGATGTCTTCTTGGAGACCAAGGTGCAACTCGGAGAAGCTTGTAACCGCCAGATAGCAACATCTCTCTGTGTCCATTGTCCACCAGTCTGTGTATCCATCTGTTTATGTATCTACCTATCTGACTATCTATCTGTCTATCTAGCTAGTTAGCTAGCTCGCTAGCTAGCTAACTAGCAATCTATCTCTCTATCCTTTGTCTCGCTCTCTGTCTCCCTCTCTGCCTCTCTCCCTCCCTCTCCTCTCTCTGTCTCTATGAATCTATCTCTCTGTCTCTTTACCGGCCGGTCCATTCAACTATCTATGCTATCTATGTGATTATATCCATCCGTCTGTCTATCTACCCATCTGTTTGATATATATATATATATATATATAGTGTGTGCACTGTACATATGATGTGGTAGCCCCCGCCAGCAATAGCGGACAAGAGACGGGCACTGGGAATTAGGTTGTAGAGCTTCGCGGAGTATAGGGCCATGAAAGGGTTTCCGTTGAGTGTTCGGCTTGCATTGTGAGTGTCGAGTTGTTGAGGGTGCTGCCGAGCTGTGCTGCCCTGGGGATTGTTTTGGGCTTACTTGGAGGTTCATGGGTAGTTATAAGTGGGGTTATAAGTAGGATAACTATAGATATAACCCATATCAGGGGATTTATAACCAAACTTATAACTACCCATGAACCTCCAAGTAGGGTTTCGCACAGCTTCTGGAACTTAAAACGTTTGCATGCTCCTTCTGTTCGGGATGGTGAGCGGCCTCAGCATGACCACCATTTCTATCACTGCCATCCGCTTGTTTCTGTTGATGCGACTGCTACTGCGGCTGTTGGTAAGCCGGCTGGTAAGCCATCATGGCGGTGGCAGTAATCGCAGCAGCAATAGAAGCAGCCTTAGCAGTAGCATGGGTGCTTCACACAAGGTGGTTGTGGTGGTGGTGGTGGTGGTGGTGGAGGCGGCAGCGGTGGCGGGTGGTGGTGGTGGGTTTTCGGAGTGGTGGTGCTGGAGGTTGGAGCCGAAGCAATTGCTAGGGTTTAGGGTTTAGGGGTGAGCGTGTTCTTGGGACGTGCCAAGTAGCGACGGCAGCAGAACGAACGGATTCGCGATTCGCCGGTTGGTGTCGTAGCAGCAGATGAATGCTAGTACTTACCTAACAAGTACTTCTGCGCGGCGGCGGGTGCTGTGTCACTTGAACAATATTGCCCGTGATGGCGTTTTTGCATCAAAATGTCAGACTAAGGACTATCTGTTGTTTGTTTGTGTATCCCAGCTGTAGCATATCTGCTCACTTGTACTGGCAGTTTAAACAGTAACAATAGGCGACACTAAGGATGGCAGCAGCATTTTGGCACTGCCGCCCGGTAGTTCCTAACCTAGAGGCTGCCTGCAGCAACGGCTTCGGGTTTAGGGTTTTAAGGTTTGGGGTATAGGGTTTTAGGGCTTAGGGTTTAGGGCAGGCTTGTAGTCCTAATTATGCTTGGTTCGGGTAATCAGCTTCGCAAAACGTGGGCTTCAAAACCGAATCCTCAGCCCAACACCAACCCCAAACCTCAACCCTACAGAACCCTGACAGTACCTCTTCTAGTAGTGACTTATCCTAAACCTTATAAGTCACTTGTCAGCGCCTAAACCCAAACCCCAAACCCAAACCCCTAAAGCCCAACAGCCGTACTCCCGAGCACGGTTACCGACTTTCTGTGCAGGTCTGGCGATCGAGCCACGGCTACGACCGAACGATCAAGGCCCCACTCAGAGGAGTTTTAGGATTTCCCGCTCGGGGGGTGGGGGCGGGGGGGGGGGGGCGTTCTGTAAGGTTTTCTAGAAGAGCTACGGCTGCTACAATGGGTTCCTAGAAAGTGTTACCATAAGGGTTTAGGGTCTTCGGCATCAGTGTTAAGGACTGACAGACAAGATCCTGCCGTTGTCTCTCTAGAGTTTAGGGTTTAGGGGTTCATGCTACCTTGTAAACAATGGGAATCAGGTATATTCTTCAATACATTCCTGCATCCGGGTAGCGCAGGAGGTTGTCAATCAGACGCAAGGTGGTGCCAGTTCCAGGTGATGAGTTTTTTTAAGTTGTTTGAAGTTTCGACGTAGGTCTTGGTGCTTGGAGTGGCTGGGCCGGGTGCCCTCAACTCACAGTACCCTACGCCGACCCCGTGCACCTAGGCCCAATCGAGCGCTAGACCAGCCTAAACCTCAGATGAGTTTTTTTGGTCAGAAACCAAGCCCTCAAATGTAAACCCCCCAGTAAAGGTACCCTCGAAGTGTCTGGCGTTGGGTGGATGTCTTCGAAGTGCCAGAATAAGTTCGCCGAAGAAGAGGATTGCGGAAGACCTCCAGCCCTGGTCCTGCAAAAGAGCCGGCTAAAGAATCTGAAACCCAAAAACCCTGAACCCTAAACTCTAGACCGTGGACCCTAAACCCTGAACCCAAAACCCTAAACCCTGTAAGCCCCTAAACTCTGAAACTTTCCTGCTCCTTGCATGGCCTGCCCCTTAGACCACCAAAAACGCAAGCCGGAAAGGCCTGCAATCAGTCCTTGCGGAAGCTGGGTGTCGACTATATCGACCTCTATGCCACTCGGTAGGACATCGGGTCATTTTCTTATTTTGGAGATTAAGAGGATCCCCCCTACCCCAAACCCGAAGCCCTGAACGCCTACACTGTGAGCCCCAAAGCTAAACTCACATATCTCCGCACCCCAAAATCTGTAACCCTAAACCTGAAAGCCCCAAAACCCTGAACCTGAAGCCCTTCACCGGCAAAGCCCCAAACCCCTCCCTTTAGTAGACCTTGTAGTACCCGTTCTCGTAAATAGCGGAATTCTCCTCAAACCCAACCCCACATAGGACATTTATAGTAACGCTTCCTTGAGATAAACCACCAATCTCAATTAGCGGCTTTATTGCTTACCAGTAGGGTTTGCTTAGGAGTCCTTATTATAATGATAACGTTCTGATTTTCAAGGCCCCTAAACCAAACCTTGACTGCAGAAGCCTTTATCTCATAAACGCCCTATAGAACCTTGAGAACCCTTTAAAGATCTTTTAACTCTTATAGAGGCCCCTCAAAAAAAAAGGTTCAAAATCAGTTATTGAACCTACACCCTTATAAAACCCTTGAAATCTCTTGTAGAAACCGCTTAGACAATCTTATTCAAGCTGTTACACAAGCACTGAAATCCTATAGAAGCCCTTGGAATCCCATTCAGACAGGATGTTGAAGGGTGTTTATAATAATTCGGCATATTCTCTAATTCCCCAGAACCCCAAACCCTGAAACCCTAAACCCCTAAGCCCCTAAGCACCTAAACCCCTAAACCCTAAGCCCTAAACCCTAAACCCTAAACCCAAAGCCGTAAACCCGT